TCTGAGTTTGATATACACATGATATATCATCTAATTTATGCAACAAATAGCTTCAACATCACCTTCCGAGAGTATTTTAGATTTTCACGTTTTAGGGTCCCCAAATAACGAAAAACATATTTCCCCATTTTGTCGGTCTGTCTGTCGTCTGTCTGTCTGTTGGCGCGATAGCTCAAAGACGGCTTTATAGAAAAACTTCAAATTTTGTATGGAGATAAGGTTCTTTTCTGGCTCGAGAACTGTTTATACTTCCGATCAGTTATATACAGGGTGAGCAGTTTTTAAAATAAAATTTATTTTAAGAAGTCGGCAGATTTCGACTAAAATTGGTATCTGAGAATTTTAGAAGCCAAAGATTACAGATTCTAAATAAGTTTTTAAAAATTCAACATGGCGCGCGCTGAACGGAATCTTATTTAATCAAAAAATGTCCCCCTTGAATGGAAATAATAAAAATTGTCCTTTTGGTTTGTATAATTGGACCATTTTAAAAGCAGCCAATCATTATTGTTCAATAATGGTGAACGTGACGAACAATATCGAGTGGACGCAAAGTGAGAATTCGGGTAGGATCAAGAGGAAGATCGGTGAAAAACGGTTTTTGGTTTGGTGGTTTTAATTTTAAATTATTAAAAATTCCCAGTATTTATAATTTCTAGGTAAAATACTTTACCAATTTTTTATTTAAACTTTTCAATACTATGTATCTCAAAACCTGAGCTTTTAAAGAGCTCATATTTCTATACAAAATTAATAAGAGCTTTTAGCTGTAGAACGCCATCGATCGAATTTTGTATGTAACACCCTGTAGAGCTAATTATTTCTATATTTATTATATTAAATAAACTTAATATTCAATAGTTTTAACATCATTTAACACAAACTTTATAGAGCTTATAAGTTATGTGTAAGTTTCGTGCTGAGCATTTGAAACTTTCCCATTATATAGTTAGTAAGTACGGAGATGAGGCTAAATGCATTAACACTATTACTTCTGAGACATTAATCTGTATTATTAGACACATTTGCCATATTGTAGACACTTTGAAGTGAATCAGATATAAACTATATTCATCAATCAGTCTTGTCGGGGATTTCATCCATGTGGTCGAACTTTGGAAACTCAGTTTAAACGGTGTTAATCAAAGTCAAACAAGCCGATGAAGCCCATTCGGTAATAATTAAAACTTGGATATCAACATTCAGCATTATGGAATAAACCAAAATGATTCTCAGTGTTCTTCACGTCTTAAAAATCGGTCTTGTCAGTCGAGCAGTCTGATATCTCGCTTATCCAGACCTTATTTTAAAATATTAGAACCAACATTATTCTTTTTTATCCAGGGTCATCTTTCCATACACATCACCGATTTTATAACTGTTTTTTGCATCTTTATTTTATTCTAGATCTGTTGAGAATAAAATAGAAAAGGAATTAGAGAAGGACATATGCACGAGTCATAGCAGGAGAGCAGGAGACAAAGGAAAACAAGAGTTAGAGAGGCAACCGCACCACGGGGGAATATTTTTAATTATTTCGGCCATACAGTTCAAAATTATTTAGTATTTGTTTTTTTCGTTGTATGGAGCCACATGAGTCACGACCCTAAAAGCTTTAGGATAGTGGAATGGTTTGACTTTTACGGAGCAGAATCATTACAATTCTATTGATTCAAAATATTAAACAACAGTACATTTACGTCCGTACATCTGGAACATTTTACAATACTCAACTATGATTCATTGACGAAGATCTTATATTGAATTTGATCCAGACACAAAAGAATCCAATGAATTTAAATTGGGTATTATGATAGGACTTCCAATATAACCCATCTGTCATACAAATATTGTATTCTTTGGGTTCTCAACCCTATCACTCTGGTCCAATATTACGATCCTCAAAGTCCTAAACGTGGTCCTTCAGTCTAATTGGGTGACCATTTGGGAATCTCGACACATAATATATCATTAACATTAAATAATTAAACTAGTTCAATATTTGAATGATGTAAACCCTACTGAACCGGCTCTGTTTCCCAATGATTAAGGAATGGAATAGATTTATTGGATCGATGATGTTTTCAAATAATATATAAAGATGCATTTCTTTATTTAAATTGTAAGGAATGAACGGAGTCCAACAAAAGGATTTTGCAATATACCAACACAGGCGTTTATTTTATGGGAAGTTACGTTCCTAAATAAATAAGAATATATTCGTGACTCCAGTGACGACAGATGTGCCTGTTTATAGCCCTTTAAAAAAAACGCAATCGCCCAAAAAAATAAATCGCCAGCTTACTACTAAATCCTCCTAAGTTAGTAGAATGATTTTACAGAGAGATTGAGGAGATACGAAAAAATATTTCTCTCGTCTTATTTTGGTATTAAAAAACTGCTCTAGATAGGGCTTAAGAATAGCGCTAAACTAACAAGGTTTTGCAAGACTATTGTAGTGTTTGTTTATTTTAAACAACAGTTTATTTGTTAATAATTTATTAGAACACTTATTTATTTTAAAACAATATTATTTTAATTTATTATATATTTTGAATATCTTTAAATCGTTTACTATTTACCTTCGTAACTGAGCGAAGTTCTAGAATGTTCTCACCAATTCTCACCAATACTAGTAATATTATCATGTTTAATCTGGAATGGACTCGAAGGCGCCTTCGCCATAGTCGTCACATATGTTTGGTCTTTAAGGGGGGTTTAATTATGTATGGTAATCAGACAAGTTAAGCCTCGAAAACCAAATAAGACAGAGAGGTACTTGGAGGAATAGAGCATGACTGAATAATCAAATGGCTCGCATTACACTATGTATCGGTGTTAAAGGAATGTGAAATAATAAACAAAAACTCTAATGTCAAAAAAATAGACTTAGCACTTTTGGACAGTAAGCCCAAATGTTGAATAAAATTCATAAAACATTCAGCTATTATTTATGCTTTTTCTTTGTAAATAGTAGGTCATTTTTCATCTTTTAATTTATGTGTCTGCGAAATGTAATATTACAGGTGCAGAAGAGGTCAACTTTGACAGCATAAAAAATCAAACTGCTCTTTCTTAAGCCGATATGGTCATAATAAGACAAGAAATTTAAAAAAAATGTTATTTTGAATGGGTGACATCCTATATAAATGGACTGATTTGTGTTAAAATGATATAAAATCTAATTGTCGGCTCACGCAGCATTACTAAGAGAGGGAGGTTTAGTGTAGTGGGGGATTTATTGGAAAATCTGATAGTCGTTGTGTTTCAAATCCTCTCTTAACTATTCATTTATATTAGAATCGTTGACCTAAAAACCAATGCCTTAAACTGCGAGAGCGAATATTTGGCAGTCAAAGTATCGAAATATCTAAGTACCTTGTTTACTTTTGTCTTTATAAGAGGTCAGCTCGTTAAGTCAAATTGTGGAGCATCAGTGTTCTGACTTCCACGCCTATGGTTCCTGTTCAATTTTATGTTCATTAGAAATCGACTTGTTGAGCAAAACTGTGAAGTATAAATGACCTGCTTTCACAGCTGAGGTTCATAACTCAGGTTTTATTTTAATTAATTATCGCCAGTTAAATCGCCAACTTATAAAATGATCGTACGACGGTCCAAGTCAGTGTATAAAATCTATTTGATAAGTTTTAGTGTTTTTTAGACGCATTTTAGATCGCTTATTCTTTGATGTAAATTTTTGATATTCCATGTATTAATTAATTTTAAATTAATTTCAACAACAACTTCTCCATAATCCCTCGTAACACAACTTAAACGACCACCGTTCGCTTCCTTCTCGAAATCTAATACGGTTTACGCACGGTCTATAGGGTTTCTTTGAACAATCACGTCGTCATAAAACCGACTCGTTTGGATTCAACCGGTCTTTTGGTGTATCGAATTCAACGTGCTAGCTTGTGCCGATAAATTAGTTGCTAGTAATTCTCTTGTCTTTTTGTGTTTATTGTGTGTTAACGTTGGGTTAATTGTCAGGTAATGTTTCTTTCGCCTTATATTATTCACATTTTGCTGGATTTCGTTGGGAAACCGAAAAGATCGGCCATTTGCTTTTTTTTATTGCCATCATGCCGGTTATTGACTGAGAAACTATTATTATTTGTTTTACAATTTATTCTTTATTGCAAAAATATCTTATTCAGCTATTTTGTTGAGTCTGTCAAAATTATTGAAAAGAGGAAAGTAGAATTTATTGAGAAGAAATTTAAAATACAAAGAAAATTAATAAGTTATTTTTATTTCAACTTTGAGCTTGAATAACTTTTAAGTAAGTGAATTTATCTAAAAAATTACTAAGAATTTTTTATAGAGCGTTAAATTTACTACAAAAATAATTGATTGCCGTAGCTTCGTATGAGCTGGCTGAGGAACGAAAAAATTGATTGCAAAAATTACGAAAACCCCATGTTATTTAAATGGGAAATGAATTGCCTTTGTGGCACGGTTTATTAACAATAATAAGGGCTTATATGGGTCGATATTTTTTTATGGGTCATACACTAAAAATTTTAGGGGCGCTGCAAACTCAAAAATCAAATTGGTTAATAACGGACATCCCAATATATAATTCTCAACTAGCTTTTTAAGAATAAAAAAAGTTATTGGCGCCCTTATATCCTTAAAAATATTTCCCGAAAGTGTCCATTAGAAAGGTCTGAATACACGACTGAGAAAACTACTCTCATATGCTCATTTGATCTTTTGATTAGATTAAGGTAAGTACCTGTTTGGTATAAAATATCTAAGAGCTGGTCATAATTAAATATAATTAAAAAAGGTAATTATCACAAATTAACGCTAGTATATTATAACCTATGTTAAAATACGGTGCAGAAGCACTCCTTTTCATTGGAATACTAATATTTATATCGCTTATAATTCCACCTTTAATATGCCTAACCGAAAATTCTTCCATAAATCTTTTTTATCTTAAAAAATGCAAAAAGTACCACTTAATAATAAATAATTAAATTACCTACCATTAGACTCTCTTCAGTCCGAAGTTCTTCTGCTCTATCTAAGCTGAATTGCCTTCTAAGTAATTTTCCCATTCTGTGTTTAGGACTCAAACATTTATAGTGATTGTACGGTGTGCTCAAGTCATCCTCGTCGATTTTTCGCCTTCTGTATCCGCTCAGCGATGTCGTAGAAGCTCCCAAAAGTGCAGCCGCTACGTCTGAAGCGGAAACGGGCGTCCCTAGAGGAATAGGCACGTCACTGGATGTGCTTTTTACCATGTGGGTTTCGTTTGATCTACAAAGTAGTAAACATAATTTGCATATCATATTAAATGAATATTTTTGAAGTTATGAATATTTTTATACGTTTATGTAAATTGGGAGCATTGGACGGTTAAAAATAACATGTAAACATGGTCCTGTAATGTATAATTTGCCTGATAGCCTAGTGTAAGATGAATATTGATTGAAAGATTATATCACTTTTTAACCAGTATTACTACTGTCGCGTGAAAATTTAAAATGAGTTCCCTGTAAAAAGTGATCATTAGGGCCAGTTTTTCAATAACAGTTTAAACTTTCATTCAGGTATAGAACTGAGATTAACATCAATGGCGTTTTTCAATCATGTCAATATCACATTTCAGGTGATCTAAGTTTAATTTATATTGGTAGTTCTGAATCGAGAGACTTCTGACAAAACTGAATGCTCTATGTCAGTTCATAAGTAAAAGTACAAGTAAAAGAAGACAGAATAGTCCAGAAATGTCATTTCCCGTCAAGAATATTCTAGACGACAGTTCGAAAAAAAGATAGGTAAAACTACAAGTTTAAGAAATTTCAAAACGCTTGGCCTAAAATCAATGTCTATAATTTTCGATCTGGGATTGAAAACAAAAAGGTCTTTGTTAGAAATACTTTAAGAGAACAGCAGCCTAGAGAGGATTACAGGGAACTTCTAGAATTAACAGTCTGTCATGTTGCATTACAAAAACTAAGCAATCATTTATGGTATTTAAGCCCTAAACACATACTTTGATTACTATACGAGGCAAGAGAGAGGTCCGACACGCCCAACATAGGTCGCGGCCATTTTGAACCCTGTGACACAGTTTACAGCTAAAGAATCAGACCGCTCACTCTGCGTCGGCACTTTTGATCTCAATGTTTCAGTTTATACACTGTGCAACTCGGATAATACAATATATGACAACCGCCTATAATAATACAGCAGTCTTCTGCGTATCCTGAATTTGTATCCCTGGAGTGGATGTTATTTTGAAACTTTCAACTGGTTCGAGTGAGCTAACTGATTCTTTAGCAATAAACTGTGACTTCAAAAATAATATTCACTGACACCACGGGGGTTTATAGCATATGCGCATTTTGTCAACAAGTTACTGCGCATCGAAACTAGCGTACGTCCGTTTTACAATAACACAATTATATATAAAATATAAAGAAAACAGAATAATTACAAAATATCTCAATAAAAATGTGTTATTAACTTGCGAAAAGTAATAGTTTCACATTTTTTTTATTTATCAATCGTAAAATTGAAAAAATATGAATTTATTCAATTATTTTTACAATGTAAACCTGGCTTTGGATAACAAAACCCAAATCTCGTTAATGCTCGAGTCGACTCCTCGATAAACGAAATCCGAATGATACAAAATACAATATGGCTGTCGATGTAAACAATTCTAAGTGAGTTTTACTTTTATTTAATACAGTTTTAGGCATAAATTTAGTAATAATTTACTGTAAGTAAACTTATTTTGATACTTTTGCATGTCTATGTCCTATAAATGCATATATTTGATTGTAATAGCAAATTGTTCTGGCCCATTTACACTGTTTTGTCGAAGTAAATTCAAAAGCCCGCCAATTTTCAAATTAAAATAGCATTACAGCTTTTTATATTACCGACTGAGTATTAGTTGCACAAAACTATCCCACATGTCGCTGAAGGCAAACATGTTGCCATATTTATACAAAGAAACGGCAACTCTTAATTATCCTTCCTCCATGACTGACACTGACAGCAGCAAGCAAAATATCAGGTGCGTTTTAATCATCCGCTTCTGCTTCCGGAATTGTCGGTTTAGTCGTTTTAACCTGTCAGATTAAAACAAGAAAGCAGAAGCGGATTATTAAAACGCACCTGTTATTTTGCTTGCTGCTGTCAGTGTCAGTGAATATTCTTTTTGGAGTCACAGTTTATTGCCAAAGAATCAGTTAGCTCACTCGGACCAGTTGAAAGTTCCAAAATAACATCCGCTCCAGGGATACAAATTCAGGATACGCAGAAGACTGCTGTTTTATTATAGACGGTTGTCATATATTGTATTATTCGAGTTGCGCAGTGTATAAATAGGAACATTGAAATCAAAAGTGCCGACGCAGAGTGAGCGATCTGATTCTTTAGCTATAAACTGTGTCATAGGGTTCAAAATGGCCGCGCCCTATGTTAGGCGTGTCGGACCTCTCTCTTGCCTCGTATAGTAATCAAAGTATGTGATGTGGCCCTAAAGTTGTCGCATTAGCTTTCTTTGATCCAAATTTGTCCTTTGAGTCAAAAATAAAAATGGTAAATGCTTTAAATCGCGAAACAGAATTATCAATCAAAAATGAGAAGTTAATACAAATACAAATTGATGAAATCCCACAAATTATCAACGACGAAATTGAACAATTCGTTTCCTCCGAAACTGGAGAATTTTTCAAAAGATTTGTCTTGGATGTTGAATTCCTTATGACAGATCCGTCGACGTGGCATCAAAATGAATGTTTTGTAAAAGGTCTGGAATTAGTGAATAAATTGACTTTATCTTTGCGTCAAGATTTGTAGTAAAAAAAAAGATTTTTACATTTTTTTATAGATTTACAACTTTTATATAACACTTTTTTGCATATAATTATTATTTAACAAAATAAATAAATAAAATGAATTTTTTTTATGTTTTTTCTATTTTCAAGGTCCTTGGGGATTCCTTTCCCTTACCCGATTGACCTCAAGTTTAAGACAAAATTGTTTTCATGCAATGGCACCAAACTGGGGGGTAGCGCAAAGAAAATTCAAACTTTGAAAAATAAAGGCCACCCTAGTAGGTAAGCATATGTATTTTATATCTAAATGTTATAATCATAGCACCCCAGTGGTTAAATTGCAATTATTTAAGTTTAAAATAGTAACAAAAAAATAATTTAAACAAATACCCCCTAATTTACTCAACCGTGAACTCATCAAAGTCTGGAAAGGGATTAAAATAAGGGCAGCGCCCATTGTTTATGTTCCACGAAACCAGGCGGCACAGGTAACATTCTTAATGAAACCAAACCTATTAATTGCAGGCTCTTTAAAATCACAGATTTTCTTTGAGCCACCTGTGCTGTAAAACTTATGGAAAATTTTGATTCCTCCGTGTCGAATGCGATTTTACTATAGTTTGGTTGCCACTAGATCTTGGTGGGGCCTTATCTTGGACTTGCTGCGTCTGCATAATTCTACTTGTATATTTGCTATGATTGGGTTATCATAACTTAGAGTTCATCAAATTTCTAGAGGTGTTCGACGCCCAGACAGAGAACGCGCTACGTGTGACTAAGATAGCTATTGTACAGTCTGCTAAACAAGTTATTTTAAATAGTTTTTAATTAATTTAATTAAATTTTAAAAGTGTGGAATAGTTTAGGGATTAAATTGGTCTGATTGGACTTTCTTAGAACGTTTTTAAAAGCAGCTAAAGATAGTATGTAGAATTGAAAATAATTATTATGCCATAAAAGGTGTTTTGGAATTCCTTCAACCTTTTGAAATTGAGTCAGAAAATATAAATTTTATAGGATAGCGGAAAATACCTATAATTTTTTTGTAGGCCTTTGTAAATCGTGGAAATAGTTTATATTTTATTTCTACCTTATTAAGGAAAATGGTACCTATTATTAATAACGGTTGTTTCTGAAACATTACTAAAATTTTCGAAATTTTGTTTTTCTACAAAATAATAAACTATACTATTTAGAAAAAAATTTATTTCTCTTATAATTTTATAAAAAATAACAGGGGAATATTTACATTTCTTGATCTATTAAACAAAACGATAAATTATCTCGACGAATGACACCATGTTCTAGTACGGAAGCTAGCCTTACATTTTTGTTGGTGGTTTCATGGGTTTCATATCAATTTTTTGTAATTGTAGTTTACACGTACATATACCTCTTAACACTTGTTTGCTTTATTAAAAAAGTGTGTTGTTGTGATTTACGTCGAAATAAGTCAAAAACAACTTGAAATCCCATATAAAATCAAAAAGGAGAAACGGAAAAAAATTGAGCCTGTAAATGAACACAACTCAGAAACAAAAATAGCTATCTAATAATAAAAAAATAAAATTTGATTCTTGTGCAGCTTCATCTATATCATTAACTGTTTTTGGTTTTTTAATGGTTTTTCTTGGTGATGAAAATTCCGATATCTCACGGTTATCGATTCTTTTTTTCTCTCCAGAAATGCGGACGACAGTGTTTTTAGATACTCCTGTGGCTGCAGCAACACGATCATTTACATTTTTAAATGGTATTGAAGGTGAATTAAAGTTTCCTTCTCTTCTCATAAACTCTATAACATTGGCTATTATTTAGCGAGATTGACTGTTAATCACGCGGCCTCTTAATTTGCTATTAAACTCCATACTTAGGTTCTATTAAACTGTAATGAGCAAAAAACACAAACGAAAATAAAAGAAATGTTTTAGCGAAATTTACATCTGACATTTACGTCTGAATGAAATAGTGAAATACTTGATGCGCAGAGTGTACTTTCATTGCGTAAATCCGTCGGGATGCCTGTCAGTAGAGCTTTCTCTGTCTAGCCGTCGAAAGCCTCTAGAAATGTACATGAAAATGTAATCTGTAATTATCTTTACTTCAATTTCTTATTTTGAGGTCTCAATACTTATCAATATCTTATATCATAATAAAAATATTTCTAGCACACCCCGTATACATTACTAAATAAAAAACAGTTTCGAAATGTGTTATTCTAGTATAGTTCCTTCTTAATAAGAAAATTACCGTAAAAGTACTTTACATTTACATTATTTCGCTAATTTTTTTAATATAAACCCACTTTAGTGTTATCTAAATTGAATTGAAACAGAAGTATTGATCGGAAAAGTAACTTTAAGCCCCACATGAGTTCCATTTCATTTACTAAGGGAATATATAGTCGTTACCCTAATAAAACTTTTTCTAACCGTACTTAAACCGCACGCTTTCTCCCTCCTA